GGTAAATAAGTTTTATAATTTTGTACCAAATGGCCAGAAAAAGTACCAGCATTTAAAATACCATAGTTATATATTTTTAAATTAGATAAAATTCTCTATTTAAAAATTATTTGCTGAAATTTAAAACACATAAGCAAAACATGATATTAAACGTGGTGTAACGAAGATGGAAGACATATTTGTGTATGTATGAATAGTTTAAAATGGCCATCGAAACCCTAAGATTTCAATACAAATGACAAATTAATATATCAGGTTAATCCAAAAACAAACAGTTTAATGGAATCGAAGTTTCACAAAAATCGTTTGAAAAAAGAAAATCTTTTATAGAAATAAACAAGTTAATATGTAGCAGTGTTCTCGTATTCAAAATTATCTAAAACAAAAAAAATAGGACCTTTTGCATTATTTATTGCAGTTTTTACAATTATTGCTAGGATACAGTGAAACAGGGAGTACAACTATTAAGCACAGGTTGTGTTGAGTTTATTTTTAGTTAATTTACTACTAATCTCCAGTTTTATTATTTTCGTGTGTACCCTATTTTTCCCTGAAATATACCGAAATAGATAAAAAGGTTGAAACGTTTTGACCGAATTTTTCAGTTATTAGTTAAAAAGAAAATAGAATAATTTTAAAGGCACATTTGTAGCCAATTTACTTATTTTATTTTTTGAAACAAGGATGGGTGAGATTCTCTTATCCTTGAATGCGTCATGATAAGGTACCGTAAATAATTTTGAGAAAAATAACTTATTCATTTCGAGAAAATTAATTAATTTATATGTAAAAAAACATTTTTCCTATAAAAAAGTATTCCCTAGTAAAAAAAATTATAAATCAGGGACAATGCAACTATGAAAGTGAACAGCTGTTCGAACATTGGAAGTATTTGCAAATTTTTCCTCTGAATTGCTGCTGGATAATTTTGTTGGGAGAAAACACTCCAGTTTAATATCAAAAATTTTTTACGAATCTTTCTTTACCACTTTACTTGCAAGTTTTTATTGGAAATGCGTTTAATAACCCCAAAAATTTGCGATAGAGCTGCAAATTGTTGCAAGTAAAAATTTTATTAGCTGCAATTTGCAGGTGTTAAAAAAGCAGTATTGTGTCCATTTCAAATGTAAAAAAAGTGTCTAAGAGGAAGATTCAATGAAAAAATGCTAAAAAGAAATAGTGAAATTAAAGTGTGGATGAATAATTCAAATCTAAGGTCGATTTTTTGGGTTGTATGATGATTGGAAATATTTCCAACCAAAGGGACAATCACGCGCCAAAACTTAACCATCAGAAAGTCAAAATGGCGTAAGTTCCACCTTACTACTAGTTTTGCGTCCAATATTTTTTCTGAGCTTTTTCCCCTCTAAATTTTACTCTTTATGTTACTTTTACGCTTTAGTTGTAGGTAGGTACTTATTGGAAAAGTTTATGAGCAGGTACTGTTGTTGATTTTAGCAAATACCACGTATTTACTTGTACGAGGTAGGAAAAGGCGACCATTTTTATCCACAAAAATTCAGATCACCAAGTATGCTGAATGTGGCATTTCTAAATAAATCTAATACTGTTCTTGACAAAATTGTACCAAAAATGTCGATGTAGTATCAATGTACTTTTGCGGTTCAAAATTTACCAAAAAAGTACAACTGTACTATCAATTTCATCCCTGTTCTGAACTAGCCCTATTTATTGCAGGGTACATTCTTACGAACATTTTGAAACGATAATCAAATATAAAGTATTAATTTTTACTATGCATTATTTCCCTCAGTGTATGTATATACTACATACTATTAATATTATTTTGCATTAGTAAAATAATCACACTTCAAACTTTTTATAAGTATATATACACACGCACGTTGCTCTGCAGTTGAGCATAATAAAATTCTAGCACAAACTAAAACCAAAACCACAAAATTTATTATTTCTTTTTTAATTAGAGTATCTAGAATAAAGTGCGGTTGTTAAAAATTTTGAGGGAAAAAATTGAAAATTGGACTTTTGGCCGCAGAAAGAGCTTACTTCAGCCATAGTGCATGGGATCACGACGAAATTAACGGTACTATTAAATTTTTATAAATATAAGATTTAAAGTCGATTTAGGTTTTTGCTTAAAAATTACGTGTTTTACTAAATCAACTTCAATTGTAAAAAAATGTATGAAAAAAATACAAGAAATTAAGATATTCATGGAGACTAGTGCAGTCGTTCATATCCCTAAAGTTGGTAGGGACGACTATACTAGCCCTAAAAGCTTGAGGCCCATTAACATTGGAATGATCGCCACTGTAAAGCGTATAGTGCTTGTAAACATCGTCGCCGCAACTGAACGATCGTTTCAACATAGCATGATCCGAATGATTCAGCAACAACCGCATTTGACCGATTACCGAAAGCTTTTCATTTCAAGCACTCAAGTGTCGTTGATTGAGTGTGCCATAATTTCGGCGCACCGCATGCCAATCTCTGCTCAGTATGTACCATGCGGAGTTCATAGGAGCTGTCCTTAGGACGGTGTACCTACTCTCTGCTGCCTTGCTCTCTCTGGTACTTAGTAATTGATGTAGGTCCTCTGTACCAAATCATATGCTTATGGATTTAGAAACTTTTCATTGAAAAAAAGATATGTTTTGGGAGTTAGTTGATTTGATTTTCAATAATTTTTATCGATTCTAAATGCTAAAAATTTATTTGCTTTCACCACAATGTATCTAAATAAAAAGTCCGCATCAATAGATTTTTGAAAGCGGATTTCAAACTTCTTTAAATTCAGAAGAAAATAGATTTTTTTAGGTTTTTTTAAAGAAATTTTTCACTGAAAAAGTAAATTATTTATAAAAATTTAATTTATCTAGTAAAGGGACACCTCATTAATAATTTAAATTTTAGCACAAAGTGAACATTAATCGTTTTTATTTTGTTAAACATATCTAATTCACCGTGCTGTGTTGACTATAAGATGGACTAAGTGGGTTTTTCAAAGAAGTATTCCTTATATCCTTAAAAAAAAAAAAAAAAAAATTTACCTTTTATTATAAAATAAAAAAAGGGTGATATTCTTTTCTACAATCAGCTCCCGCCGATTGATTAGGAATTTTAACAGCTTTATAAAACAAAAGAAAATTAATATCGGTTAAAAATTGAGGTATTATTGGCATTCTTAGCGAATATAAGCTCACGCAGATTAGATATTCATGAATGCGAAACATTCCCATATCTATAGATACATGCATATTAGACTGCATAACTTCCCANAAAAAAAAAAAAAAAAAATACCTTTCATTATAAAATAAAAAAAGGGTGATATTCTTTTCTTACAATCAGCTCCCGCCGATTGATAAGGAATTTTAACAGCTTTATAAAACAAAAGAAAATTAAAATCAGTTAAAATTTGAGGTATTATTGGCATTCTTAGCGAATATAAGCTCACGCAGATTTAGATATTCATGAATGCGAAACATTCCCATATCTATAGATACATGCACATTAGACTGCATAACTTCCCATACAAAATATTTCCGAAAAATATTAAGATTTACGTGAGCTGGACCGATTTGAAAGTATCTCCAAAAATGGAGTTTTTTATGAATATAAATAGTTTCTTAAAGCNTGAGGTATTATTGGCATTCTTAGCGAATATAAGCTCACGCAGATTTAGATATTCATGAATGCGAAACATTCCCATATCTATAGATACATGCACATTAGACTGCATAACTTCCCATACAAAATATTTCCGAAAAATATTAAGATTTACGTGAGCTGGACCGATTTGAAAGTACCTCCAAAAATGGAGTTTTTTATGAATAAAAATAATTTCTTAAAGATGTTTTTTTGTAAAGATCCCCCCAAATGACAAAACGGTTAAGCTTAAAAAATTTGCATAAAAATATTAAAAAAAAATTAAAAAAAAAAAATTTCAACGGAATCGTAATAATGAGATTTTTGATGCTGTTTTTTTTTTTAAACTTTTTTATTGTATTTGTATTTTCAAATCGGTCCAGCTCGCTTAAATCTTAATCTGCCTTATCCTGAGTTTCGGCCGAAAAAAAATTCACCCGAAAATTTGACATCCGCCCATAGTAAATACATGGAAACCAAGAGTGAAAAGTGAGCCGGTTCGGCGAAAATGAAATTCATGATAAGGTGCAATATTTTTCCGAAGTATTTTGGTGGTNCCAAGAGTGAAAAGTGAACCGGTTCGGCGAAAATGAAACTCATGATAAGGTTCAATATTTTTCCGAAGTATTTTGGTGGTGGTCTTAAAATATAATACAGTTTGTAATCCCGGCGGAAAACCCGCAACTTTTTTTTGTGATGCAGTCTAATGCACATGTACATATGTATGTACATACATACATACTATTTACATATCGCACCCTAAATCAAAAACAGTCGCAACTAAAAGCTTTTCAAAATTTATTTTCCCCCATAAAACAGTTCACAGGCCACATTTTTATCNTAATCCCGGCGGAAAACCCGCAACTTTTTTTTTTGTGATGCAGTCTAATGCACATGTACATATGTACATACATACTATTTACATATCGCACCCTAAATCAAAAACAGTCGCAACTAAAAGCTTTTCAAAATTTATTTTCTCCCATAAAACAGTTCACAGGCCACATTTTTATTTTCTGCCAAAATTTCTTCTTCATGACTATCTTCTTTAACCGGACAAATATTAATAAGATTACATATTTTTATTTTTGCTTGCGTTGCTTGTGCAGCATCAACAGTTTTTTGCCACTCCTGGGCATTTGAGATTTTTTGGGTTGTGACGGTTTTTGATTTAGGGTGCGATATGTATCTATATATGTAAGTAAATATGTATGCGTCTAAGCAGCTGTAATGTTAACCACCTGTTCGATTATCTCAGATTATTCGTTCAAATTGCGGACAAAGCCTTTTAAAGTTGTTTACACCCTGCCACATACACAATACAAACGTACATTGTTTTTGTTTTGAAATATGCAATAGTTATTAGCCAAAACCTGTAAGCACCGCTTCAATTCCGTGCAGCCACCACCCAACTGCATTTGTTGCTGCGTTGCATTGCAGCAATTCTTGATTGTGGTGATGTTGGCGGTGGTGCTCGACGGGGGAGAAGTGCAACGCGATCGGCGATTTATTTACATAAAAGCCTGCAAATTCACCACCACCTCCGCCAGTAACAGCAACGCAGTTGTGCTTAGAATAAAAACAAAAAGAAAAAACAATAAAATTCAAATCACTTCATTTCCACAATAGAACTCAAAGAGTGGTGCCAATGCGTCCACCAACCGATCCGAACCGAACCGAACAACACCACTAAGCTGATCGACTATTACAATGTTTTCCGCGAGTCATGGGCAACATTTTGTTATTATTGCTCGCTGCTTACCGCTGTTGGCTGTACAAAAAAAAAAAAAACAGAAAAATGGGCTGACTGTGGCGGCTCCATATGACCACATTTCCATGTTCGCCGTCCGCCGTCCGTCTGACTCGGGAGCCCATTCTCTTCCAGCCATTTATACGTATGTTAGTATGTGTCTTGTTTGTTGGTTGTTGTTATTTTCGTTTTTCTTGTTGTTGCAACTATGGTTGATTTCAGCTTTCTGCTGGTTGAGTTGTTTTTGTGAATTTGTTAAGTTTGTCGCTTGCGGTTCGTTGGTGGTATAAAAGCGTCCGACTCGTTGATTTTCTTTTGAGTACGCTGTTCTGCTGCTGGAGTCTGGTGCAAGTGCAAATTCGGTTTTTCATTCAAATGCGAAAATCGTTAAGCGTACAATATTTGTAGTGCACCATCATACAGCAATTACAAAAACAATAACAAAAAAGCAACAAAATCATATTAAATAATATTTTTCGAATGTTATAATTTTGCGAAAATTGTGTAAACGTAATATAATTGATAGCTAAGCTGATTGATGAACTTAAAAATTTCGTGTTTAAAAATTTGGAAATTCATTGTGCTGGTTTTTGCGTTGTAAACATCAAAATATTTTCGATCGATAATCAACACAGAAAAAATGAATAAATTGGTAAGGAAAAAGTGAAGTGCAATTACATTAAAAAAAAAAAAAAACTTTATTTAAAGAAAAAATTGATTTTGGTCGTTTTAGGTGATGTAACACCTCCTAAATTTCGAGTAACTTACGAACAACCGAAAAAATGGCAAGTTACTCGAAATTTTGAGAGGTGGACAAGTCAAACGGATCTCTGATTCAGATTCAGCGAATCGAAATACTTGTCGGTAGCTGGGTCTGGTTAAATACATCGACCACTTTTTTTTTGTGAGCCGGTGTAATAATAGATGGGCACTTACACACACTTATGTTAGTGTTTGACCTTTTTTCTATATTTTTTTGCGGTTTGCTTTGACCAGAGCTTGAACCCAGGCCCTGCGCACTGCTCACCTCTACACTGCAGCGGCCACTATATACATATGTATGTCAAAAACGTTGTAAAGCGTATAGCTCATTGTGATACATCGTCGTCGGCACTCGCTGCCATGTAATAGTATGTGTAAAGGACCGCCCAATCAGATGATGGCATGATCTACGCTTCACCTACATACATAGATCAGGACGTGCATAATGAGAGACTTATCGATTGTGATTTCCATCCCTTGAGAGAGGACTTAACTGCTCAATTGCCTACTAAGTTCAAAGTATGATTTGCTGTCACTAGCGGCTCTGAAAACAACAAATTATAGGATCGACATTATTATCGCGGGTCTTTTTCAATATTTCATGTATGGCGAATAACTGGTATTTGGTGGATTTATTAGTTCTGAAGCCACACCTATATGACTCAAGCCGTTCGCATACATTACACTGGTCTACAAGGGTTTTGCGAATAAGACGGGACCTGGTGTTTCCGAACGGATTTTTCGTGCTGAACACGAATCTGGGGTCAAAAATGTCCCATCACGTCACGTTTTCGAGAAAAAAGGGGTTGAAACCCCTAAAAACAGCGTTTTTGGCCATTTTTGAAAAATTGTAGAGCTGAACCCTGACGTGCTACAAACTTTGTAT